AGTCTCGGAGGAGGCTGCAGAGAAAGGAGATGTATCACCCAGGCTACAGTGGTGGAAGTTCCTCACTTCTGGTCCTCTGTGCAGCTGTGCTCTCACCTTCCCCAAGGCAGGTGGGGCACTCAGGTGGGTGTAGTGCCGTCTGCCCTGCTCAACCTATTTGACCTGAATTTTTTTCCTGCTCTTTTTCTTTTGGTAGGAAAACTCCTGCACTCCTTCAACACAAGTATACGTGTGTTATTTCCTTGATTATTTTTTAAAAGCTAATTTCTAGCTTTTATTCATGAACCTGGCACTTAGTATTCAAGAGGCAATCGCAGGCATGAAGACCAGCTGTGCCACACTACAACCTGCTCTGTGTGAGGCGTACAGAAATTGTTTTTCCTGTATCCTGCACTTCCTCTGACTAAATACCCTCATTAGGAATGATTTTCTGTGGGGTGTGTTAGCTGAAAAATGCCCTATGTCTAAAGCCCACCACTGCTATCTCACCTTGCCAGTAGAAAGGCAGTGTCTCACCCATGTCCCTCAGACTTAGCAGTAAAAAGCAGATGAGTTGGGTAAGTGCAGTTCCTTCCAGGGACTCAGCAGAAGGAATTTAAAACAGTAAATAACCACTGAAATGCTCATTTTTTTTTTCATGAAATGTTGACATGTTTGGACATCGAAGCCTAAATTCATATGCAAATACCATCAGTATTTCCTTCAGCAGAAACAACCATTTCCACATGACCAAAAAAATGCCATGAACAGAAAATTACTCACAGTCCCCTTCCTCTTGTTCAACCTGACCTCAAGCAAGTGTAAAAGACTGCGAAAGAAAATAGTACAGAGGATGCGAGATATCCAATACGCTACTGGGTGACTGAACATGACTGCAAATAACATTTTAAAGTTCTTCTCTGGCCATAGGTCTCAAACAGCCAGTCAGCATTCCTTAGAGGCAAAACATGGACACCCTTCATCTGAGATACCAGTTCCTTACCTTAATCTACAGAGAACAGTTTTGTTTAAGTTGTTTTGGTATATAAGAAATTAAAATATCTTGTATCTATATGCATTCCAAAGCCAGATTATTATCATCAGCTAATGTGGGGAATGAATCAGATCTGGGAAGAAGGTAACTCCTGACTGGTTGATCCATACCAAGCATACTCATCAAATCTTCAAATCCACAAAAGAATCCCCTCTTTGCATGCTCCTGGTGGCCTGATTCTTTCAGCCCATGCTGGAGATTCTTGTTTTGTTTTGAATAGAATGAGTCAGAATTTGAACTTTTCACTATTCTCTCAAAGGGTAGATATCTGCACGTATTTTATTCTATGGAGATGATCAGACAGAATATGAAAAAAAAAAGAGCAACGTGACCAACCTGAAATTATTGATTTCCTAAAATGCTAGGTTGGTAATCCTGGAGAGCCACCACAGGAGGTGCAGAGCGCCTTTCTCTAGACCCACACCAATTTCCTCAAGGCCAAGCTGATCCTAGGGAATTATGTGCTCCCTGATATGCTTGTGTGTCTCGCCTCTGCGGCAGCTATTCTGGCAATGGGAACACCGACCCATACACTTTCAGATGTGCTCATCCTGGTGCTTTTGGTAGTGTTTCAGGAGCTGAGAGGCTTGGAGCTCAGGTAGCTACCATCCATCTTGAGAGCCACGGTCCGTAGGAAGTGGGACTGGCAATTTAGCAGCTGGCACGGAGCACTCTCCGAGTTGTTCAATCAAAACTCCAGCTGCGAGAAGCAGCCACTGCGCTGGAGGTGTCGTTAGTGTTTTTGAAATCATTGTTAATTAAGGTGAGATCTCACAGTGCTAGTGTTCAGCAAACGCAGGAAGAAATGGACCTTTCCCTGACGAGTTTATCATTCAGACAGGCTACACAAACAAGCACAAAGGATGATGGAAAATGTAAAAGGTAGATTTTAATGTTTCTTAAAACTTTATTTCCCCAGGCCCCCCACTGCAGCCCTCTGATCAGTTGATTAAGCTCAGGGGCAACACAACTGTGAGCATTGTGCCTTTTCCCTTTTCCTTGGTTTTACTCACACAATGGTGCCATGTGTATTTACGGGCTGAGACATGGTCTGCTGAGACCAGATCAGCTTTCAATAGCTGCCTTTCAAAGTTACATCCATTTCAGAAACCATCTCTCTCTTCTCCCCCCAAGGAAAATGGTCGCCCACGGTTCATGCCTCTGGTTCATGAGGGAGTTTTACCTGGAGCGTGGTAGGACGCAACCAAAAATCACACATTCCCTCATTCGTTTTCCTTTCTTGACAGAAAGGAAAAAAGCACTATATGTTTGTGTTGTTCTATAAACCATCATAAATCACATTCTATATGTTTGTTATTCTGTAAACCATCACAAATCACAGCTATGTACTCCTGATTATGGTGGACAATGCAGTTTTATTTTCAACCCAAATTCAAGAGGTGGTCCTGGGGATGACATACTGTGGAAATTAACGATTAACTCTGTGTGCCGCTAAGCAGTTTTGTGCATATCCAGCTAAAGAAGCATAAAATACTTCTAAAATCTAAAATAAAGTTTCTCATCTGCTGTTTGAAAACTAATCACCTGCACTGGATGGTGAAAGCATCCCATGGAGTACTGACCAGCACTGAGGTCTGAACCCCCATCACAGAGATAATCAATCTCTCTACTCTGGTAGCCTAATGGATCTCCTTCCAGGGAGTTCTCTTTCCTTTCTGTTGAATTTTTATCGAGGTCAAAGGAAATATTGTTACCATAGCTATTTCAAATCAACTCAGGGAACTTGAGTGTCGTCTTCTGAAGCACTAGCACCAGAGTAAAACTTCTCTCTTTCCCTTCCATGCCCTAAGTCCCCTGCTTCGTCTCCACACACAGCGGTGCTGCCAGTTGCACATAAACCCAACAGAAGAATCAGGTGTTTGTAAGTGGGTACGTGTCTACAGACATAATCTCGCCAAAGGTGCAAATATTTGGCAGTGGAGAAAGCTGTAGTAAAAACGGTGCATGATATGCTCTTCCCAGTGTTTAACACACCACATGACACCACTTTGTGGTAGCAGACCCGCTCCATGAACCATGTGCATTACAGTAATAATCACAGAAATCAGTAGAAGCACGTTTGCTTAACTGAAATCCAGAGTTATACAGAGCCTGCCCTATGTAAACATACAGAAATTAAACTTCTTAGACAAAGTATCATGTTCTTGGTGGAATATCTGCTTCTACCACATGTTTTGCCCCTGACTTCAATGGCAGACAGCATTTCATGTGCTCTATCTCACTGGAAGACAGAGCTTTTTAGGTTGATCTACATCCACCTTAGTAACCATAACTACTGATAAACACTGCATAGGACTAATAAAGTTTTATTTGCAATCTCAGCTGTAATGCTCAAAGCTATTAACTACAACAGATTAAGTACCTTAACATAACTACTTTCTTGTCAAAAATTCCCGGGTAATGCCTGTTGGTGACAGTATTTTTCACCATGTGTGCTATGCATGCTATCATTATGTATTATTCTATCTTCTCACCTCTCTTTTTTCAAGCTGTAGGCTATGAAATACCTACAATTGTATTTTTTAAGTCTATTGGATTTCCTCACTTAAAATCGAGATAATGGCTGGGTCATAAAGACATACAGACCACAAAGGAAGAAACAGAATATCAATACTTTTCATCCTACTCTTGAATCAAGTGGTCAAGGGTGAAGAGGTGTCTTGTTCCATTGTCAGAAATGCCTCAGCTTTTAAAATTCAGGTCTGGGAGCCTGGCTACCTCCGAGATGAGATACGTTTCATAATTTAGATGTGGTGCAAGAGAAAACCAGGGAAACCCAGACTAAATTGTCGAGCACAGGTAAAAAAATTAGCCATTCCTCTGATCACAGGTCAATTTATCTTACAGAGATAAATCAAACCACAGTATTTACATGCTCAGAACATGCAATGAAGCCTGAGGTACTGCTCCACCAACCTACAACCTGCAAATGAGAACCCTTATTATGGCTATAAAATTGACATCGATTGTATATGATTACTGTACATTCCTGTTAACAGCTCCAAAATATGGATCCACATCCCTACTCTTTTCTTAAATCCATAGGATGAATCTAGCCATATATCAATTTTAGCCTCTTTCTACTATTTTAGCATTGCCTTAGAATTATATTTGGCCTCTGTAATCTGGCACATACAATAACTACTAGCAACACTCATCCTCTCTGCATTGAGGTCACTGAGTATATCGACGGCTGTAAGAAGCGGGGAGAGCGCAGAACACTGCCTGACTCCAAAAGTCAAGGGAAACGGGGAAAAATAATATAACCCAGAAATTGTTGGATCTCTCAGCCGCATTTGAGATGGAGCTTGCCCTCTCCTAACCCCTCCTCGCCTCCCCCTCCTCCCCGCCACGCACAGGCGGAATCACTAGAGACCAGCCTTTGGTTTAACAAAAGCCTCTGCCCGTCCCTCTGTCCCTGCGAGGAACCAGCCCTGACCCAACCGGCCCGTCCCGTAAGAAAAGCTGTTCTTTGTTGCCTTGGAAGCCCAGCGAGATGAAGGCAGCGGGGAGGAGGCAGAAAACGCCAGCGTCCCCCTGCTCACGGATGAGCCTCTGTTAAAAAAAAATAGAGAAGAAGAAGATGCGGGAGACAATGAGGCAGAGCCCGGCTTCTCCCCCGCTCACCGCACCGGGCGGATTGCGCGTTTTCAGTCCCTCGCCTTTGAAAGCGGGGCTCAGAGACGGGGCGGGGGTGGGGGGACACACGGACACGACCCTCTGTCATTGCAGCAGGTGAGGCTGTTCCGCAGGCGGCGGCACCTTCCGCGCCAGGGGAGCCCGAGCATCCCCGCAGAGCCGCCCGTTCTCCGCGGCACCTTCCCGGGGGCCCGAGCATCCCCGCAGAGCCGCCCGTTCTCCGCGGGCAGGGCGGTGACAGCGGCTCCCGCTGCTCCCTCCCGCACCCCCCTCCGCACCCCTCCGCGCCCCGCTCCGCGCTCCTTACCCGGCTGGGCCCGGGCGCTGGGCAGGAGGGCGACGATCGCCCCCAGCAGCACGACGGCCCCGGCCAGGCCCGTTCCGCCGCC